GAAGTCCAAGAAAATAGTTCAACTCACCCATCATGCTCATTTCAAACCTGTTCTACATGAGCTTAGAGAATTTCTCACATAAAGATTTATTAGTACTTCCAAAAATAATATCTTCAACATATATTTGTACTAATAAAATGTGATCATTGTCTTGAATTCTAAATAAGGTTTTGTCAACACGGCCCTTTGTTAATCCACATCTAATTAAGAACAATGATAAGGTATCATACAAAGCTCTTGGAGTTTGTTTTAACCCATATAATTCCTTATTTAGTTTATAGACCTTATTAACTTCACATTTTACCTCAAATTCGGGTGGTTGCTCAACATATACTTCTTCTTCAAGTAAGCCATTTAGGAATGCGCTCTTTACATCCATTTGATATACCATGAAGTTCTTATAGACTGCATAGGCTAAGAAAATTCGAATAGCTTCAAGTCGTGCAACTAGGGCAAAAGTCTCATCAAAATCTATTATTTCTTCCTGAGAGTAAGCCTTTGCAACTAGCCCCGCTTTATTCCTAACAATAACGTTATCAATAACTCCATCTTCATTGGTTCTATTCCTGAAGACCCATTTTATACCAATAACATTATGATATTTTGGTCTTGGAACTAGTTCCCACACTTCATTCCTTGTCAATTGGTTAACTTCTTCTTGCATTGCTTCTATCCAACATGGACCATTCAGTGCTTCGTCCACTTCTTTTGGTTCAATTTGAGATAAGTAGCATGTGAATAATGCTTCGATCGTTGAAGATCTTGTTTTTACACCGTCTCGTACGTTTTCGATGACTAATTCTGGAGGATGGTCTTTGAGCCATCTTAGGTCTGGTTCAAAGGTGTGATTAGTTCTGGAGGAACTTTCTGGTTGCGAGTTGTTGGTATGAGTTTCAGCCTCTCCTCAAACTTCACTTCCAAGCTCATTTCTGTTCTCATCTCCATTATTTTCTTCATTTCTTTCTTCTGTATGATGGATGAGATTTTCTAGAGAATTTATCTCTAACTCTCATTCAATCCCTGCAAAATATCATCTTCACAAGATTCATTAGTATCATAAAAATCAATTTGATTTTCATTACCATTCTGCACTGCATTCACGTCTTGTACTACGCTTTTAGGACTTTCTTTTTCATCAAATACAACGCATATGGATTCTTCAACCACCGTTGTTCTTTTATTCAAGATTTTGAATGCCTTGCTGGTAGTTGAATATCCTAGGAAGATTCCTTCATCTGCACGCTCATCAAAAGTCCTAAGATGCGTTTTATCGTTAACATGCACGAAACATTTGCAACCAAAAGAATGAAAATAATTAATGTTTGGTTTTTTCCCTTTCCAAAGTTCATAAGGTGTCTTGTTGTATTGCTTGTGGATCATGCTTCTGTTTTGAGTATAGCAAGCATTGTTGATTGCTTTGGCCCAATATCGTTTAGGAAGTCCAGCTGCTGAGATCATTACACGTGCAGCCTCTTTAAGTGTTCGATTCCTTCTTTCGGCAACACCGTTTTGTGGCGGTGTTCTTGCGGCTAACAGTTGATGTGAGATTCCTTGAGAGTTGCAATAATTTTGATTCACTCCGTTCACGAACTCTATATCTCTATCAGTACGGATCTTGACAATTTTGACTTCTTTTTCATTTAGGAGTTGTTTGAGTAGATCTAGTATCTTCTTCTCGACTTTATTCTTTTTGTTGAGAAATATAGTCCATGTGTACCTGGAAAATTCATCAATAATAACAAGAGTATATTTCTTACCACTCATACTTACTGGGTCTACAAGACCAAAAATGTCCATATGTAGTAGACTAAGAGGTCGTTGACTTGACTCCTACGTTTTTGCCTTGAAGGATGATTTGATTTGTTTTCCCTTTTAACACGCATCAAAAATTTGATCCTTTTTGTAGGTGATGTTTGGTAGTCCTCTATTAAGAATATATTGTAATAGATTTTGATATGCCAAATTGTATTTTAGAATCCCCAATTTTATTTGTTAAGTCTAGGTTTGTCAGAGACCATGAGAGGAAAATTAACAAATATAGAGAAAGCGAAAAATACGAAGAAGAAGATGTATGCATATGATATGTATACTTAAACAAGCCCGCACGCCCAACTCAAAGAAGAAGTCATACTGGAAAATCTCATACGAAAAAACGAGAAGCAAACGAGACTACATGAAGTTATCTTGGAGATCAAGCATATGTGGAAAGAAAGAAGTACATCAAGGAGAATGCTATAGTAACTAATAATTTATATAGATAAGGTGGTTAGAAGCTTGATAAATTAACTCCAAAGTTTTAGGTTCAAAACTCACCCTTTACAATTTTATAAGGCAAAATCTAAGAGGCAAAAATCAGTTCTATGAGATGAAGTATGAGCGTATAGATGAAGTGCTATATAAATAGTAAGAGAAAGTTTCAAAGGCGATCTTGACGCGTCAAACGCGGCTTCCTCCAAAATAAATGCTACGGCGTTTGTTCGACGCGTCGAGTCTCCTGTGCTCCAATTTTGTCAATTTTGACTTCAAACTTGCCCTAGAACTTCCCTTGCTCATAGAATTGACCTACAATGATTCAAAAACACTAACAAACACCGTAAAACATTCAAAACAACTGTGAACCATAATTAAATAATAAAACAAGGGATTATGCAATTAAATTACCAAAATTATGAACTTAAGCCCAACAAATATAATCAAATCAATACTAGAAATATGCACAATCAGGCTCACATCATTGATTGTTAATTATTTATGAGATTATATAGGATAACAAACAATAATACAATTGAATTTATTTCTAAATAAGTTAACGAACATGTTGAAGTCGTGACTTGTTTTATTTTATTTTATATTTTAATGCTATTATGTTTGCATTATGGTGATATACTGATGTAATTATGTATTAGTTTTGTATTAAGTATATTTCTTAAATTATTTAGATATACTTTTTTTTTGAAAGCATTTAGATATACTTATTAAAGTTTTTAAAAAGTCTTTAACATGTAGGATTTAAATAAACTCAAAGTATGACTTACTTTGAAGCCTTTTTAATGGTCTAACTATTAAACATGCTTTTAAAAAGGCTCCATGCCAGGCCAATTATAGGCTCAGGCTTGAGCCTAACAAAAAACCTACATATAGGCTTAGGCCCAAGCCTAGGCTTTATATTTTCGTAACCGGTCCAGGCCTAATTTTCTAAAGCTCGGCTCGGCCTATTTCCACCCCTATGTACATGCACCATCCATCCACATACATATGTCAATGATATAACTTGCCTAATATATTGGCTTATGTATACGGATTGATGGGTGTATAAATCTGGCATGAATTAACTACCATTTAATAAACAAATGGCATATTATTTTAGTATTTATGTTTCCCATGAAAATTCCCTAAAACATTTAAGAGAAAACGATAATCTAAATGAGATTTACTATTTTTACTAGAGCTTTTCGAATCTCCACAAAATTCTATTTCCATTCATATTCTCAGCATCTAAAGAAAGCACCTTAATTATTGTCGTTTGCTACCTGCCGACCCATAATACTGGTTTTTCGCGCTGGAGGCGGCAGTGTCCTTGGGGACGGTGATGTAAGAAACCGGGTTGTAGTTTTGGGAAGTTGTTTGTTGATAGGAATCTCCTTCTCCTCGACCTAGTAAGAGAGGTTTCTAGCGGTGGAATCATGGCTTTAAAGGCCATTGCTGCCGTTTTCAGTTTCCTACAAGATATTTTGTTGTTGTTCTTGCAGGGTCAATGTTGTTTGGACCTTGTTAACAATGTTGTTATTGTTGTTTTTATTGCTGGGCCTTTTCTTGATGAACTGTATGTCTCTTTCATGAAGATGGAATGTGGATAGAAGGAAGAAGAGGAAGAAGTGTTGGAAAATAGTCGCAACGTCAACACGCGATCTGAAAGCCTTTTAAGAAGCACGGACACTACGGGTGTATGGTTGAAAAGAAATACGTGCCGTGTTATAATAAAACTACCTTAAAAGCGTTATTTGCTCGGTAACGGTGCAGTTAGAACCCAGATACGCTTTCGACAGGCTACACAGACCTACTACGGATAACTTGCACTAGCAATCACGTAGGCGAACCTCACTATTGCTCATACTTTAATAGGTAGACACGAAATCATATTTTATATATATATATATATATATATATATATATATATATATATATAGTGTGTGTGTGTGTGTGTTATATAATATATTAATTCTTACACCAGAAAGAAGGAAAAAGCTTAAGTATGTTGTTTTGGACAAAAAGGCTTGCCGCTTTTATAGTGTAGGGGTATGAGGAGCTCAAATCATTCCACCCACACACTAACGTAAAGGAAGGAAGAGTGGAAATAACCACGGTCATCCAGCCACACATTTTGTCCGAAAATAATGTCCTTTGAATGGACAATTTCCAACAATCCCCCACACATTCAAAGTAGAAGGCTAGAAGGAAACAATGTCTGAGCAATACAAATGAGTTGATCTTAATGTCAGTGTTTGTGAACTTGAACTAACACGTAGTGACATTGAGTAATTTTCTTTCCGAGAGTGATATGAATCTTGAACTCATCGGTTGGATAAATTTTGAACTCTAATGCATATACCAACTCAAAAAACAGGTTCTACGAAACTCAAACTCTTTGACTTCTTATTAACACCCTTAGTATTAAAGAATGTTATTGTGACACCCCGTATTTTCCTAAAATAAAATATAGTCCCGATAATAAATATTTTTAATAAAAATATTTATATAGCTATTTATTTTTAAAACGGGCTCGGGTCTACCTATTATGGTGAACCAATATTTTTGTACAAAATATGCCTAGACCCAATATGAGTTTTAATCCCTAAGGCCTAATAATTATTCTTTGAGCCCAAGTGCTTATTTATCCTAAGACTATATATTATATAAGTCTTGAACCCCACAAGTTGAGCCCATATGTATGTATAAATATAAATATTAATATTTTGTGAGCCTAAAGTGTTTAAGCCCAACCTATGTTACCCAACCGCAACTCCTCTTCTCCTTTCTTACCCTTCCGTCTCCGGCAGGCTGCAATCTCGGGCAGAGTACACCGGCTTGGACAACGCAAGGCAAGCTGTGATCTTTCTCTCTGTTTTGACGCGGTGAGGATCTGGGAAGGACTCCGAATAAGAAGCTGTGGTGGCATCGTCTCCGGCGACCTTTTCCTTGGTTTGTAGAGCGCCAGTGTCTCCTCTCCGGCAAGCCGCAACTCTGGCAAGTAGACGGCAGTGTTGGGTTGAAGCATGGCTGGGCAGTGGATGGCGAAAGTGGCGGTGGCAGTTTGGATGAGTCTACGGCGAGCGGGCTCCTTCTCTTCCGGCGACGGCGGCGGTGCTTGGAGGAGGTTCTCCGGCTTGGTGGCAGTTCGTGGTGCCGGTGGGTGGAGGGTGCCACCGTGTTCCGCCCGCGGAAACGCTACATGAAGAAGAAGAAGAAGAAGGATGGCGTGGTGAGCTTTCTGTTCTGTCGGGTGTTGTTGTTTAGTGTAGGATTAGTTAGTTGTTGTTGTTTAATTTCACTAAGTGGGTGCTTAGCTAAGTTGGTTAGGTATGTGTTTAGGCTAAGGGGTTGGCAAGGGTTTGAATCCTAGGTTGCTTTTATTAAGCTAAGCCTTGTTTAATTATTAGTTTTACCTTAACCTTAGTATTAGCTTATCTATTAGTATATTAGTGTTGTGATTAATTAACAATAGGATGTTTGGCTTGAATGGTTAGATTTGTGGGTAATTTAGGGTTGAATTAATGTTCAAATCCCCTTATGAGCTTACTAGTTTTAAATAGTGCTTGTGTTAATAGTTGAATGATCGGTTTGATTCACAAGTTCCCGGTAGCTTGGTTTTATGAGTTGAGCCAATGTTGGCGTTGGTTTTGGTTGGATAAGCGAATGAGGTAACCCATGCTCTACAAAATCTATTTTGCTTACCTATATGTGATTTCTTGGATTCTACATGTGTTTTGCTATGAAATGTGAGTGTTTATGCATTGTCTTGTGAAAATGCATATCTAGAGCTTGTGTTTAGGGTTCTTGTATGCCATTGCTTGGCTATTCCTTTGATTCAAGTCATTTTGTTGTATTTGGTGAGATTTGGCATGCTTTGGACTTGAATTTGAGCTTGGTGTTGAAAATCCCCGAAGGGATTATTTGGTGTACAGGTGTGTACCCGCGGGCGGAACGGCGGGCAGTGGCCTACCCGCCGCCCACCCGCGGGGAACATATGGCCGGTCGGTGTGTACCCGCGGGCGGAACCACGGGTGGGATCCTACCCGTGGGTCCACCCGCGGGGAACATGCTGATGTTGTTGAGGGATTTATTCCCCGTGATTCTTTTGACTCGGTATTTGGTCTTTTGACTTCCCGATGTTCTTTTGTGGAACTATTTGAGTGTCTTCTTGAGGTTTCGTATGTCTAAAACTATGTGGTAGGTATCCATGTAGGCCTTTGGTGTCTTGAATCGTGATAAGTGTTCAACATTGTGTTTCGTTGAACCGTGATGAGTCTTGTGTGTTCTTCGGAACTACCTTTGGTTTACCCGTTTGATGAGCATGCTAGTTTGGTGTTTAAATGCTAGCGTGTGCGTTGTTTGTACCTTCCGATTGGTTGCTGATAACTTGTGTTATTCATCGTTGTTGTTGTTGGACTGTGTTCCATTCCTTGATTGAGTATGGTTTCATATCTTCGTTGTGATCCGTTGATTGATTCCTGTTGTGGTGTGATGTGTGAGTGGCTTTACCTGGATTGCACGATTAGTGGTATGGGACACTAGTCACCAAGGTATTGCAGCGGTCCTCGTGGTGGCCGTGACGCGATTATGGAGTTTGTGGCCTTTGTGTAAGGTTCACGTGTTTATTTCTGGGATAACATGTGTTATCCAGGGCATGTGTTGCCGTGTGTGATCGGTACCCTCGTGTACTATGAAATTGGTGGTTATGTTGGAGGGACTGTTGGAGGGGGAACGACGGTTCCTGGGGGAATAAGGTTGGACTTGGTGTACAGGGGTCCTAGAGGTAAAGGTTGGAACTAGATATAAGGTTGGGGGTAGCCATAAGGTTGGAACAGGGCATAAGGAAGGCATATCAACTCGTGATGGGTGATGTCACGAGGACTTGTGTAGCCGTTGTTGTGAGTTCTTCTCTTGTGACGTGTGTAGTCACAAAAGCAAGTGTTGCCTTGGCATGTGTTGCCGTGAGTGAGTCTAATTCCTTTGCGTTGTGTATGTCGGGTTTTGATCTATTGTGTGATGATAGATCATACCTTGAGACTTCTTGTGAGTCGTGTTGTTCTTTGTGGTTTTGGGATGTGTTCCCGTGTTCTTGTTGAGAGTGTTGAGTCTTGTGTTGACTATTACCCTATCTATGTATGATACTTAACAGGTATTGGTGGGTTACCAGCATTATTCGCTGACCGGGCGTCGTCCCATTTCTATTTGTTGCTTTACAGGTTGGGTAGCTTTGGAGAGCGCGCTAGTGGCCTGTAGATAGCTTTGTCTCTTCCTTTAATAGTTGTTGAGGCCTGTGAGCCTAAGTAGTTGAATAGTTAGACTGTTGTAGTTGTAGTATCTGCCTGTGCACCTATGTTTGATATAGGTGTGGCATAGCATCTCCCAGATTTATGTAGTTAGCTTCCGCTGTTCTTATGTTGATGTTTAGACTGTTAATCCCTTTAAATTAAGTTTTAAAAATTGTTGAAATTCGGGGGTGTTACAGTTATGTCTGTTTCAATATGGACTTCTACCCTGTCAAAGTCTATCACAACATAGACTTTTAACTCTGACTAGTCTTACCGCATTACAGACTTTTATGTCTTGTCAAGTCTATCTCAATATAGACTTTTAACTCTATCAAGTCTATCTTAGTATAGACCACCATTAAAGGCTTAAAGAGTAGTTAAAGACATAAATCAGTTGTAAGTCTTTTCTTTTTATCATAGGCACTGTTATTTGCAATGCAAACGACAGTTTGTGAATCACAATGTGGTGAAGGTGTTGGACACCCCCACAACTGCACGGTTATCACCTTGTTTCTTAGCCACTCAGCTTCTTGGGATACCCCCATTATCTTTCATAAGAGGCGGTTAGCCCTTTTCCACTCAAGCCAGGGATCTCTTTAGGTCTATCTCAAAATAGACCACCCCAACTGAGTATAAGTCACCAAGAGCACTTTTGTACTCAAGTCATTATGCGGTGAATTCATTAGGTTTATCTCAACAAAACTACCCTTCTCAAAGAGTTATGAATTCATTAAGAGCTGTAGCTCAACCTCACAAGTACAGATATTGTAGGAATGACCAACTAGTGTACTATTTTGTAACTCTTTTCATGGCTTCGTTTGACCACAGAAGTGGGACCCACCACGAATTCATTACCACTTGGACTTTAAGTCCTTCCAATGATTCAACGACTAATCCTCATAATTAGCCCTCAAGTAAGTTTATTCTCTTGATCAAACATACATGCACTTTGACGAGTACTTCGTTTACTCGTAAATAATCCCTTGAGATTTAATTCTTAACATGAAACATTCTCTTTCATCATTATTCCCAATACCACGGAGAAACTTTTGGTGAAAATATAAGGATTTAATCATCCCCACAATACAACACTTACAAATATTTTTCTCAAAGGTATTTGATCTCTTACCCATATTGATCTTTGGTACCCTAATATTAGCTCATTTGTAAACTGAGTTTTGCTAATTTCCTATGTGGAGCATTATAGTAGCTCTGCACTTTACCTGATACATACTCAACAGTTGAATATATTTCAACAAACTTGGTTATCTCAACTCATCATAATTACCCTTTAAATAGGAATTATAGGTACTTCAATATGACTCAACCAAAAATTTAAATAATATATATACAAATGCTCATTGTTAGTAAGCCATAGAAATAATGTTGTCCACATGCTACATCAAGTTGAACAACATAATCACAAGTTTCACATCATATTCTTATAAGAAATTAATCTCATACACAAAGAATATGTTCGAGCTCATATTTATTAGGAAATATGTCTCAACAATGAGACTTCAGAGTTGCCACTTGCACAACTTTTTCCTTCACTTGAGGAGATTAAAACTCATATAAGGCATCCATATGATGCAGATCAATATTACTATTGCAGTACTTCAACAATTTCTATTGCAAGGCTTTGATTGTTTAACAATATATGAAAGTCAACCTCATTTCAGGTGAAGATCAAGTGGCACTCTAACTAGCCCGCAGGATCAACGCCCTACTTCTTAAGTACTCCCAGGTCGAGTGGTGAAACCGAAGTTTACTTAAAAACCATCTTCCTAGACAGAGTGTTCAAGAATGATGACTTTTCCATGTTCTCATTAAATTACAATTGAAGCCCATGATATGTGCTCTTATTTTTTATACAACTAAACTAAGTAAAAAATTTGAGCAATATCTATGCACAGATTATTTCAATCAATGTCATTAGTATTCAACATACTAAAGAAATAAGTACTACTAAGTAATCAAATTCTACACAACTCAACTAGAATTCAGTACTAAGACAATCATACTTCATGCGAACCCTTAGAACTAGAGCAAATATAGTTACTCAAAAATAACTACTTATTTAAAGAGGCTCAATACTCATCTTGCTCTGTCAGATTGACTTTTGCTAGTTTTGCCGTTGTGATGGTAGCACTGGTATGCTCGGTGTCCTTGCTTTCCGCACGCAAAACACCTTCCTTTGAACTTCTTGACTTTTCTACTTCTTTTGTTGTAGACGGTTCTACCACTTTGATTTTCAGTTTCATTGGCACCGTACTTTTCTGACAGTGGTTCCCAAATGACTTTTGCCGAGTCTTGTTTGACATAGATGTCAAACAAATCGTCATTCATTTGTAACAAAAGGTATCCTCTGGCTGCCACATTTTCATTTCTATACTGCATCAGAGTTACACCCGGTTTTTGACCCGGAATGTTATCTATTTCAAGACTGCTTTCTCTCGTTCTTCACCCGGAGTGTAATCAGGTTCATGGTTAGCTTTTGTAGCACCAAAAGGAGAGAACACTGTTGGAGTAGGTTCAGGTGCAACTTAATATAGCACGTAAACCAACTTTAATTGTTCAAAGAGGATATGCAGTCTTTGAGCCCACCAACTATAATTTTTTCCATCAAGCGCGGTAATTTTTGATAGATCGGGTATGACATAAGGTGCCATAACACTAAAGGTGACTGTTGCTAAATAATGCTTTTAACTGTTGGAAAATAGTCGCAACGTTAACACGCGATCTGGAAGCTTTTTAAGAAGCACGAACACTACGGGTGTATGGTTGAAATGAAATCTGTGCCGTGTTATGATAACACTTCCTTAAAAGCGTTATTTGCCCTATAACGGTGCAGTTAGAACCCAGCCCAGACACGCTTTCGACAGGCTACACAGACCTACTACGGATAGCTTGCACTAGCAATCACATAGGCAAACCTCACTATTGCTCAGACTTTAATAGGTAGACACGAAATCATATATATATATATATATATATATATAAAGATCGAGAAATGGGTAGCGATGGAAGACATGGATCAAAGAGAGAGACAGAGATCGAAACGAAAATACAATGTTCGGTTGGATCTAAGAGGAAGAAGCTTTAATTTGTTTATATAGATAGACTATATATTGAACTTTATTAGAAAGTATTTGTTTTCTTAAGTATTTTATAATTTATACAAAAAATTTGCGCTGATTTTTGGTGGTAATAATTAATAATCATTATTTTAATATAAAAAATGGCATATTATTTTGGTATTTAAGATTCTCATGAAAATTTCCTAAAAAGTTTAAGAGAAAACGATAATCTAAATGAGATTTATTATTTTTCTTGAGTTTTTCGAATCTCCACAAAGTTCTATCTCCATTTATATTCTCAGCAGCTAAAGAAAGAATATTAATTATTGTCGTTTGCTACTTGCCACCCCATAGTTATGGTTTTTCGCATTGGGTTGCAGTGTCCTCGAGGACGGTGATGTAGGAAATCGAGTTGTAGTTTTGGGGAGGTGTTTCTTGTTGGGAATCTTCTCCTCCTCGACCTGGTAAGGGAGGTTTTTAGCGGTGGACTCATGGCCGTAAAGGCCATTGCTGTCGTTTTCAGTTTCCTGCATGAGATTTTGTTGCTGTTACGAGATCAATGTTATATGGAGCTTTGTTGTTGTTTTTGTTGTTGGGCATTTTCTTGATGAACTGGATGTCTCTTGCACGGAGATGGAATGGGGATAGAAGGAAGAAGAGGAAGAAGATTGAGAAATGGATAGCGATGGAAGACATGGATCAGAGTGAGAGACAGAGATCAAAACAATAATACGATGTTCGGTCGGATTAAGGTCTAAGAGGATGAAGCTTTAATTTGTTTATATAGGGAGGCTATTGAAATTACCAAAAAGTTTGTGCTAATTTTTTGTGTTAATTGAGACATGAAAAATTATATATATATATATATATATATATATATATATATATATATATATATATATATATATATATATATATATATATATATATATATATATATATATATATAGTTGCATTCGGGTGCGAACGGCTCGCCCAGGCGCGAAATAGGAATGGATTCTGTTCGTCCACGTGTCCAGATCTAATGGATGAGAAACACTGATTTTTTAAAAAAATGCGGTGGCATTTTCGTAAATAATTGAACATCGAAGTGCAAGTAAAATGTATTACAAGTGCATGTAAAATGTATTATAGGTGCAAGTAAAAATTTACACTGAGCATCAATACTTAGTTGCACTTATAGTTCTAAGTAGTTGCACCTATAGTTCTAAGTAGTTGCACACATAGGTATAAGTAGTTGCATCTAGGTGTATGAATGTTTGCGAGTGGTTTTCAGGAGTATTACTACCCGCTGAACTCAGATCAATGAATGTTAACAAGACAAAATTACATGCACTTATAGGTGAAAGTAGGTGCACATATAGTTATAAGTAGTTGCACCCATAGTTATAAATAGTTGCACATATAGTTATAAGCACACCCAGGTGCATGAATGGTTGCGGAAAGTGAATGCTAACTAGGCAAAATTACATGCACTTATAGGTGAAAATAGGTGCACTTATAAGAGATTTTACTTGCACTTCGATGTTCAATTATTTACGAAAATGCCACCGCGTTTTTTTTTTAAGTTATTAGATCTGGACACGTATCACGCGCTGATTCGTTCGCATTTCCTTCCTAGGCACTTATTCGCACATGAGTGCGTCCCTATATATATATATATATATATATATATATATATATATATATATATATATATATATATATATATATATATATATATATATATATAATTACATTCATGTAAAAACAGGGCTTAAAATACAAACGTGTGGACACTTTTGGACCATGGATTTTGGATATCTAAGGTTGTGATTAGTTTTTATGTTTTTGTGTGCTGTGTCCGCCTGTGTGCACTGTCGTTCATGGACGTGTGCACACTGGCCCAAATACTGTGGATTCGCACATACATACTACGGATGTGTGCACACCCACATTTAGGCGTGTGCACTGTCGTCCACATATGTGTGCACACACGCATTTGGGTGTGTGCACGGTATATGTCCACATGTATGTATTTTAAGGGTGTTTGATATATATATATATATATATAATTTTTTCCATGTCTCCATTAGCACCAAATATCAACAAAACTCACTATTGTAATTGCTGATGAGAAACCATTTAGTTTGTTCTTTAGTCATATATTGATCAGAAATATGAAACTTGACTCAAATCACTCCATGCACGCTAGTAATAGTATCTCCAAATGACCCAACTGTTTGTCACGGGTTGAATGAATTACGCTTTATGGGTGTTGCTATTTGCACCCCCCTTTGACTAAAATGGGGTAAAAAGTGCATTGAAAATATAAAAGTTAAAAACTTACAATAAATACATAGGTGGTGCAAATAGCCTAATGGGTGGTCAAAATGCTATTTGCACCACCTTGTCAAACTTGCATTTAATACTTTGATAATTTAAAATTTAATTAATTAATAAAAAAAATACTCACCTTCTCCGGTGAGAAGGCAGCCCAGTGGGTCGCCTTCTCACCGGAGAAGGCGACCCAGGCAGATTTCTACCTGGGTTGCCTTCTCCGGTGAGAAGGCAACCCACTGTGAGTTGCCTTCTCACCGGAGAAGGCAACCCAGGTAGAAATCTGCCTGGGTCGCCTTCTCCGGTGAGAAGGCGACCCACTGGGCTGCCTTCTCACCGGAGAAGGCAGCCCAGTTACCTTCTCCGGTGAGAAGGCACTCCTTCTCACCGGAGAAGGTGACCGGTTAACGTTTTGTTTTTTTTTTTTTTTTTTTTTTTTTTTTTTTTTTTTTTAAATCACCTCTTTGTCTTCCTTTTTTTTTTTTTTTTTTTTTGGTCTCTTTATCTTTCTCCTCTTTATTTTAAATATCTTATTTCAATACATAGATTTTATAAGTTTGTAATTTGAATACATATTTTTTTTATGTTTATAATTTTAATACATATTTTTTAGTTAATATTGATTTTCGTGAGATGAAACCATTGGTAATTTGGACGGCAGGGAATACAGATTGGACTCAAATGACTCTATATATATGTGGGGTGTGTGTGATGTATATGTCTCATACAATCTATAAGCTATGGACGGTTGGATTGAAAATTTTTTTAGCTACAATGATCAAAATCAAAGACAATTTCTTAGTTACAATGATCAAAATCAACAACATTATGAGGTAATTTAATTTTTTATTTGAATTGTTAATGAAATGTTACAATTGAACTTACGTATATTTGTTCATTGCTTTTATATATTATTTAGAAATTTAAGTTCCTTGCTTTTACATATTATTTAGAAATTTAAGTACGTATATTTATTTTTTATTAGAAAATTCATTGCTTTAATATATCAAGAGTTGTTATTTGTTTGCCTATTTAGGACGAAAATGCAATCGAACTTTATGATGACAATAGAAATAAAGATGAAGATCAAGTGAACCTAAATCTCGAGGTTGCATGCGAATGGTCTACAGAAACGGTAAAACAAAATTCATACACAAATCATAGTTCATATTGATTTATATATATGCATAGGATCTTTCTACTATATTCTTTTGTTTTAATATTATTATTAACTTGTAAGCATGTAAGCAACAACATGTTTGTATATATTGTGCTTTAATTAGTATGTATACTTAATTTTTGTGTTTTTTTTTTTTTTTATAAATATGTTGGTATACATGCATGTAGTCATTCATGCCATATTATTATTATTATTATTATTATTATTATTATTATTATTATTATTATTATTATTATTATTATTATTATTATTTAGAACCAAATAAGGCAAAAAAAAAAAAAAAAAAAAGGTATAGTCATATATAATACTAGGTATAGTCATATTTTTATTATTGATACAAATATTTTTTTTTTATTAGGCATTCATATCTCGCGAAGATTTAATTGAATGGGTTCAAAGTAGAGGTCGGGATCTCGGATATGTTATTGTGATTAAAAGGTCCCGGAATAAGAATAAGAGTCGTACAGTTATATTTCAGTGTGACCGTGGTGGTACTTACGTGCCAAAAAAAATCTCATCCAAAAACACGGGTACAAGAAAAATTGATTGTCCATTCCAATTGGAGGGGAAATACATACTTGTTGATGGTTGCTGGAGGGTAAGGGTAATATGTGGAGTACATAATCATGATCCTGCGTTGCACCTTGAAGGTCACCCTTATGCAAGGCGATTATCAGGAAATGAAGTCGAATTGGTGGAAAATTTGTCAGCGATGCATGTGAAACCACGAGACATTTTAACGTCTGTGAAGAGGCAAAATCCAGAAAATGTTTCCATCACAAAAACCATATACAATGCACGCCAAAAATTTCGGATGATGGAGAAAGCAGGTAAAACTCAAATGCAAATTGTTATGTCTTTTTTACATAACAATGGTTATTTGCATGAGAGTCGAACTAATATTGCAACAAATGAGTTAGAAGATTTGTTTTTTGTTCATCCTAAATCTTTGGAGAAGTGGCGTGCATTTCCACATGTATTGTTGATAGATGCGACGTATAAAACAAATAGGTACTCGATGCCCCTCGTCGAAATGGTTGGTGTAACTTCGACCAACATGACATTTTGCGTAGCGTTCGCCTTCATGCATAAAGAGAATGAGTCCACTTATACTTGGGCATTAAATTGTCTCAAAGCTACAATTGAGGGATGCATTACCCCGCGTGTTATCGTCACGGATCGAGAGTTGGCATTGATGAAAGCATGTAAAAATGTGTATCCGGATGCTAAAGGATTACTTTGTAGATGGCATATCTATAGAAGTATTTTGAGAAAGTGCAGACCATCGATACCATCCAACCATCATTGGGATTTATTCTACCAATCATGGAACACATTAGTTGAGTCTCAGTCTCATGAAGAATATTTGTCTCGTTTAGCTCAACTAAAAGCAGTTTTGGTTAACTTTCCAGGTATTATTCAATGTATATTTAATATTTTTTTAATAAGGCATATTTGTTCAACTAATGCAATTATTACTATTTTCAGGTGTTTTTGGTTATATTGATGATAATTGGCTGCAACCGTATAAAGAAATGTTTGTATCTGTTTGGACTGATCGATATCTCAATTTTGGAAATCACACTACGAACAGAGTTGAGAGTCAGCATGCCAAGTTAAAAAAGTACTTGGAGTCATCACAGTCAAATTTGGAGACATCATTGGATTATATCGACAGAGTCATTCAGTCACAAGACACAGCAATCAAATCAAGTCTTGAACAAAGTAAAATTGTCATTCGACATCGGTTCAACACTTCACACTTTCAAGAATTGCGTGGATTTGTGTCTATTCATGCACTAAATCTCATTTTTAATGAGTTTGCGAGGTCACAAGTTGGCGGGTTTACTGTTGAAAATTGTGGATGTCGGTTGCGAACAAGTTGTGGGCTTCCATGTGCACACGAGCAGGTAACATATTTTAACTGTGGTAAGCCCATCGCACTTGATTCGATTGATATATTTTGGAGGAAGCTCGACTTATCATCTTCCATCTCTCTAACCAATGAGGATTTTGGTGTTGAGCATGAGCTTCATATGTTTAAGGATCAGTTCAAGAAACAATCAAGAACTGGTAAATTCAGCATATTGAGAAAGTTGAGGGAGTTGATCGCGCCATCTACAACATCAATCCGTGAGCCAGCCGTGCAATTAAATGTTCGTGGGCGTCCCAGTTCAAAAAACAAATCTCTCATAAGAACTCTATCTCTCAGAAAATCTCAAGCCGAACCAAATAATATTCAGTTTCAAGAACCAGCTCGGAATAGTTGTTCAACTGCATCAAATTCAGGTAATAGACATTTTTACCATCCATATATTCTTCAACTCCCGGTTATATTCCATCCTTTCATCATGCAAGTGCAAGATGTGAGATCTGACGGAAACTGTGGATTTCGAGCAGTAGCTCTATGTCTTGGTTTTAAGGAGGACGAATGGTTCAAAATTCGATCCAATTTAATCGAAGAACTAGAGTCTCACAAGATGGAATATACCAATATGTTTGGAACTCAAGGATGGTATAATGTCTATAACATGTTGAATTTTTTTGCACAAGATCGGTGTGCACCAGTTGAGCACTGGATGACTATGCCGGAGATGGGTGTACTAATTGCTTCCCGATACAATGTGATACTGCATGTTTTGAGTATGGCCGGCAGTACAACATATTTACCACTCCGATCTAGCCCCCCACCTTGGTACGAGCATGTAGCAATAGCCCTTGGTTATGTTAATAACAACCATTATGTTAAGGTAACATTGACAGGAGGGTACCCAATGCCTACTATTGTTCCACAATGGGCTTATTTTAGATATGATTGTGCAAATGCATGGATTGCTCCATATATGAATCGGATTGAAAGTTACAATGAGCATGTACGCTCTAATTGTACTCGGGAAAATGTTATATTAGATTGAAATTGAATGAATTTGTTTTTTAGTTTTTTTATTGTGATGTTAGTGTTTTTTACATTTTTTGCGATTCAAATTTAATATTATTATATGTTTATAATTAAGATAAAAAAAATATACAACAAATTTTAATTCTAAAGAATATTAAAATAATAAAATTAATTATTATTTTTTTATTTAAAAATTAAACCACAAACAAAAACAAGTATTGAAAATAGAAAATTTAAAAAATATATTGAAGAAAAAGATTCATTGAAAATAGAAACAAAATTTTTTTTATTGAAAATAAAAACTTAAATTAGACATTAAAAAAAAAAAAAAAAAAAAAAAAAAAAAAAAAAAAAAAAAACTAAAAGTCCCGTCACCTTCTCCGGTGAGAAGGCAGAGACTGCCTTCTCACCGGAGAAGGCGACCCAGGTAGAAACTACCTGGGTTGCCTTCTCCGGTGAGAAGGCGACCCACTGGGCTGCCTTCTCACCGGAGAGGTAGAAACTACCTGGGTTGCCTTCTCCGGTGAGAAGGCGACCCACTGGGCTGCCTTCTCACCGGAGAAGGCAGCCCAGTTGCCTTCTCCGGTGAGAAGGCAGTCCCTGCCTTCTCACCGGAGAAGGTGACGACAAGTTTGGGTTTTTTTTTTTTTTTTTTTTTTTTTTAATTAATAATTTGATTGTAAAATAAAAATAAATATAAAATAAATATTAGACTTTTGACCACATTAAATGATGGGGTGTAAATAGCATTTTTTAGTTAGCACCACCTATAAAGTGGTTTGACCTATTATATAGGTGGTGCAAATAGTAAAAAGGGGGGTGTGAATAGAATTTCCCCGCTTTATTGGATACTGGATGGCTTTAAAGATCTGAATGAGTGACTTGTGCTTGAACAACACAGGTAGACTTGAATTGGGTCAGAATAAATGAGGTAGCTAGGAGTAATAACTCTTAACAATATTAATTGCAAAATTTTCTGGCCTAGTTTTAAAAATTGAAACCTCCCAATTGATACTCATGACAAAGATAGGGTACGGTAAACAAACATTTTCTTCTATCAATGAGGTGGAATCATCCACTCCAGGCGCCCCACACCCACAGATGTTAAACTTGTACTCACGTTATCGCCGGTGAAACTCGATCCTTGATCTCTTTTAATAAATTTCATCTCTGTGATCAGTTGAGCTATCCATGCGGGTAATAAATATTTTTAATCTAAAATTTCGTCGTCATTTCTCTAAAAGCAAACCAATTATATATACTAATGTATAAAATTATGAGTTAATTCCACTTTGTCTTTGGTGACAATTTCAAATTTATTTAGTTCCAAACTAGCGTTTTTGTCATATAACATCCTGATTATTATTTTTTGGACACTTTTAGTCATTCTCATGACTTTTTCTATTTATAATAAGAGCATTTTTATCTTTTCATATTTTTCTGTTGTTATTTTTATAATTTTAATCCGTTTAATTGGTTTAGAACTTTAGGTAATCTCTGATTTTTAATAATCATATTTTTAACCGGATTTTAGTAAAGTCCTAACCAATTAATTAAACCTTTAAAAACCACAAAAATAACAAAAGAAAAATATGAAGAAACGAAAATGCCCTTACTACACTACTGAAAATTATGAAATTTCCGACCACCTGAAAGTGATCTTAAATCAAGTTAAAAGCCTTGTTCTGACCACTTTTGGTATCCGGAAAAACCTTTGTTGCTATTTCCGACCACTTTTTGGTATCAACTTGATTTAAGATCACTTTCAGGTGGTCGGAAATTCCATAATTTCCACTAGTGCTAAAAAAAAAAGTAATGAAAATGACTAAAAGTGTAAAAAAATAATAGTCTGTCATGTTAAATGACAAAACCGATAGTCTTGTCACCAAAGACAATGAACCTATATATGATGAAATTAACTCTAAAATTATCTTTAAATATAAAGTAATCTTCACAGTATGATATTATTATTGTCGTCATCAATCATTACATTAAATCAGATTACTTAGAACAATTACAACTAAATGAGTATAAAAACTAATCTAAATGCTATAAGAAATTAATTACTTAATAAGTCTATTATAACAGAACATCCTCCGATGCGATCTTGGTGAGATTGTTGATGTGGTTGTTGTCTCGTTCATGACTGCAAGGTCAATGGCACCCATTTCTCTCTTGATTGACTTCACAAATTCCATGTCCACATCGTTCCCAGAAATGTCTCTCACATAGAAAATGTTCACAGCCTTACTTCCCCTGGTCGCCACATCTGCCCTAACCACTGCTAAACCGTTCTCTCGGAGGACTCGAGTTATGTCGGAAAGTAGTCCTACTCTGTTATTGGCACACAGCTCTAGCCGAACCCCATCGCAAACCCGCCGCTCGATTGCTGCTTCTAGGCATTTTATCACCCTTTCCTTCTCACTCTCCTTGCTTAAGGTACACCCATCTACATGCCTAATAAAGTACTCCTGTCATCCCAATCAATACACATCACATCACGTGACTAAAATAATATTCTTTAATAGTATTTTTCTTAAATTGAAGTTTGGTTCCATACTAAGGGTAAATTGATAATTTGACTAGATATATATTTATTATTGTGCAATCAACTTATTACTTTTTGATGTCTCAATTAAAAATTTTGCCCACAAAAAGTGAAATCATTCGCAGAACCCCATGTCTGGGTCCGACAGGCAATTAATCACAGTAACCTAATGGTTCATTAGGTGGGAGCTAAAGACCAATGTCCGCAAGGAGCCCACCACATTAGGAATGTGTGACTCTTAGGGGGCAAATTATGTTGTGAGCACGTGCCCATCTTGCAAGATGGGCACGGTTCCATATCCATAATTTCTATTCTATTGTATATTCATAATTTATATACTATAAATCTATAATTTCTATACTGTAGATTCATAAAATTTATACTTTAGATTATGAATTTACAGTACAGATATTATGAATCGCAGTATAGAAATTATGAATCTACTGTATTTAAATTATGAATCTACGATTTAGAAATTATGAATCTAAAGTATAAATTTTATGAATCTACAGTATAGAAATTATGAATCTACAATATATAAATTATAGATATGGAACCGTGCCCACCTTGCAAGGTGGGCAAGTGCTCACAGCATAACGATGGCTTCTAGGGCTCCATTGATCAGTGATAAATTACGATAACTCAATGGTCTATTAGGTGAGAGACCACTGATGGGTGCTCGCAAAGAGCCCACCATATTAGATGTGACTCACAATGTGGGGGAGTTCAGGCTAGTGCCACAAATGATAAATTACAATAACTCAGTGGTTTTGTGCTTGCCATGAGTTCAGACTCCATCCTACATCATTGTCTACAATTTGCTGTCCAAGAATAAACTTGAGTTAATTGTGTATACTCTAAACTAAAAGTCTAAATTGATATTTGGAGAATGAGAGTGGAAGACTTACTTGAAATGCAAAACCTTTGTGAGAATCAATGGAAGCATGGAAAATGATATACTCCATGTCGGTGAGAGTGCAAACAGTGTCAAACATGAGCCTTCTACGATCTTTGCCCCAAATCGAAACTATGGAATATTTCTTCTCATCGCAGCTCTCTATGTACACGCTATGGCTCTTCTCCTCTTCCTCGCTCCCCTCCGACGCCGACGACACCTTCGACGACGGAACCTCGAAATCTCCGGCCGACAGCATCAGCTGATGAAGCCTGCGTTCCACGTCCGTCATCATCGCTTCTCCTTCTTCGGGAATAAGCCCGTACGCTGTCTTCACCGCTTCTTGCTCGTCGTTCAGGGTTTCCTCCACCGTCGTCGCCCGGAGCACGGTGGTTAGGTGGCCCTCAATCACCGCCAGCCGGTGGTCGTCGATTGGGGTGTCCGTCGACGCCTCGGAGATGTAGGCCACGCAAGCCAGACGCTCGTTGTGGCTCCAGGCGTGCGCTTCCACTATGTTGCATTGCAGATCCGCCAGCGCGGCGGAGATCTCCGAGAATAGCCCCGGCCGGTCCGTCCCCGTCAGCTCAATGGCGGTGGGCTCGCCCGGAGATCCGCAGTTGAAAACATTGCCGCCGGTTCGACACTCTTGATTTCTGAATACGCCGTCCTTACTTGCACCTGCAGCCTGCATGCATTCATCATTTCTAAAACTTATTCTAAGTAAAATTAAAACTTTTTGTAGATAAATTAATTATTGAAATCTGTAACAATAGAGACCACACTTAATCAATCAAAAAGTAGATGGTTATGGTTATGATCAATTGTTATACCATGACAAAATTATGCCTTTTCATATTATGTACTTGCAGTTAAGTCAATGTTATCTACAAGAGTTCGACTACATATATTTTTAAATGTTACTCCCTCAAATTTACTCCATAATATGGCGGGCGCTAATAGGTTGTTTTCTTCGGTGGGCCCCTTGTAAAAGTGTCTACATCAAAATAAGTGTGACATCAAAATAAGTGTGGGAGAGAGTAGAGAATGAGGAGTACATATCGTATTTTTCCTATATACTGGTACACTACTACATGTACTCCCAAATCTTATTCCCTCAAATTTACTCCCTAATATGGCAAGCGCTAATAAGTTATTTTCTTCATGTAGGCCCCTATAAAAGTGTCTACATCGAAATGTGTGGGAGTAAAAATTGAGAATAGGAAAGGTACATATAGTATTTTTCTATCTACAAACAAATAATAAGGTAGGTATGTAAGATTTTCCCTAATAATATATATTATATATTATATATTATGGCCTTAATTAAGTGGTGCAAGTTGACTAGGCTTATTAAGTGGTCTGGTTGGACTTAATAACTAGTAGCTGTTAGTCAACCAAACTCTGTGCCTAATATAATATGATTGATGTTAGCACATTCAGTTACGGTACTCGGCTCAGTGGATACCAATACACCATCTAGGGTTCTGAGTCAGGTCTGAGGCAAAACATGGCTAACGGTCTACCGTTGAGAGGCAACACAACAGGAACATCAACTATGGCTGGAGATCTACATGGCTACGCTTCCTCTATCATACGAGGTCAGGTTTCTCGTATACTATTATTCAGTATTAGTTAGACTATTTAGATCTAACAAGGTAACTATTAACGGTAGATATATAATATGTCATGTTATGTCGTCATGTTATGTGTTTAGATTATTAATTGTAAATACAAAATATGTCTGAAAATTATTTTTGACCAAGGTCCAAAATGTAAGGGAAATCCTGGTTCATGATATAATTTGTTGGTTATGGTACAACAAAGTTGTTAGTTGGTACCTGCTGGATGTACTTGATGACTCTTGGGTCAGTGATCTTGTTGCCCAATTCATCTTTAACATGAAAAACTGGACAGCCAATTTCAAAGAATTAAGTGTCACAATTTATCAATCAATCTCAAGACATGATTAGAAACATATATCATATGATTATTATCACACCATCCATGAACCATCCAGCATCGGATGATATGTAGCCCTTCAATATTGTAAGGTTCAAATCTGTTAGCACCTGCACCACTTCTAGAAGGATTCCTTGCTTATTTACACTGTCTATCTGCACTCAACCAAACAATATTTATCATTTTTTTATACTGCTTTGGTACCAAATTGAAATTTGTATTTTAATAGTGATTTTATATATTTCTACTTATTACTTGTCATACCCCTTTAAATCTAACTTTTGACATAGTTAAAGAAATTTTACCTTAACAATAGTACAATCTTCTAAACTATCATTGTCAAGTGTAATTCTACATCTGCAAGATATTGAGAAACAATAAATTAAGGTTATCAATTTTTAACTACAATTAAAATTAAAGAGAAAAATATTGAAAAAGTTATTGTATAACCTTAAAAAGAATTGATTCATTATCTATATTTTATTTGGCAAATATAAAATAATCACAATTTTCATTTTCTCATCCTTTATTAAAATGTTATTTTATTTTTGGTTGTACCCAAAATTTTCTCCCAGTGATACTAATCCCCCTTTGCTGAAGAGGGGCCTGGGTTTAAGACGGTTCCATATCCAAAGCCAAATTTTTTTTATTAAAATGTTATTAATAGATTGAAAACTAAACTTATGTCTTTCATTAAGTAATATAAAATATATTAAAAAAATATTGTGATATCTCGAAATGTCTATTCTTCTCTAATATTTAGTGGTATGATGACTCAATCGTTATGCCGTGAAACCGTGTCCACCTTGCAAGGTAGACATGATTCTATGTTCATAATTACTGAATTATATGTTCATAATTACAAATACAGAACTCTATGTTCATAATTACTGAATTATATGTTTATAATTATAAAGCTATATATTCATAATTTTTTAACTTCATATTCACAATTATTGAATCTCTATATTCATCATTACAGATCTATATGTTCATAAGTATATTCACAGCTCTATGTTCATAATTATAGAACTATATGTTCATAATATTTTAACTATATATTCATAATTATGAACAGTTTTGGAATCGTGTCCACCTTGCAAGGTGGACACAATTCCACAGCACAATTTGCCTATGATGACTTACTCCGGGCCATGTATCCTCTCCGGTAAGCTATCGAAATCGGGATCAAAATATGGCGAACAAACCTGGTTCATGCTGCAATCTACAAGTTGGGAAAAAAAGGAAAATTATTATATCAATCAATATATATATATATATATATATATATATATATATATATATATATATATATATATATATATATATATATATTAGTTATTGCATTTACAATATCACATTGTCTGCAAAATCATTATATTCCTAGGCATATTATGATCAAATGCTTTTTGTCGTTCACTAGATTATATGTAAATGGTAAATTAATCTGAAGAACATATTACCTTAGAGAGAAAACTATTAACTAGGAAGATCAGAAGATGATAGAAAGAATGGCATCAAAAACCCTAAAAGCTGAGTTGATGAAGAATTGAAGCATGCAAATTGATTTCTAGGCTTAATTTTATTCGGTGTCTTTCTCTCTCTTGAAGGAGATAGAATTGGAAAAAGAAATGAAGGAAGATTATATATATTTCAAATAGATTGAGTTGTGATTATCCCTCAAAAAGTGGCACAAGAAAGAGAGCTGCAGGGAACAGATATCATATGTATTTGTGAGGAGATAGATAAACATGAAGCTTATAAGGGATCGGAAATGTATGGTGGATTAGAGTTCGTTGGAATTTGGGAAAGTTAATAATTAGGTGGTGAGATTGAGTATATATGAACGAGGAACAAGGATGTTCAAGTCAGATGTCGTTTTAGTTTTTTTATTTTTCTTTAAAGAATATTGACTTGGTCAATTAGGGTTGACGGTGGTGGAATCTCCTCAACTTTTGGAGAGCCTCAGCTGAGCTCCATGGATTCCATGCAGCGTAAATTATTTGGTACTCCTCTATGACTATAAATACATTGCATTCGGCCCAAAAGATCGAGATGTGAGAGTGAAATCAGTCAACAAACTCTCGTATAAAAACGACTTTAATGACCTAATATAATCACATATTTTTATATTTTTACTCACTATAGTTCAATTTTGTAATTTCATATCTATTCCACACAATTCATACGTATTCCACAATGTTTATGCATTCATATCTCAATTCCTTTATACATATATTCATATAGTAGGCTTGCAAATGTACCCAAAAAAAAAAAAAAAAAAAATACAATAGGCTTGCAATGTTGGAGTCCGATGGGGCAGCTCAACTGGGCGAGGGAGGAGTCCGGCGGCCGGCGGTCGGCGATTGTCCCGCGACCATCACCCCTCCTTAGCTGATCTCACCCGCCAGATTCTCTCATGCCTCTATTATCTCCACCGCCGAAAGATTGTTCGTCGTGATATCAAGCCCTCCAATCTGCTCATCAATTCTCAGCGCGCTGACGGAGGACTATATTGTTGTGGGACAATCGCCGACCGCAGGTCGCCGGACTCGTCCCTCGCCCAGTTGAGCTGCACCACCAGACTCCAACATTGCAAGCCTATTGTATTTTTTTTGGGTACATTTGCAAGCCTACTGTATGAATATATGTATAAAGAAATTGAGATATGAATGTATAAACATTGTGGAATACGTATGAATTGTGTATGAAAGGGTATGAATTGTGTGGAATACATATGAAATTACAAAATTGACCTTCTAGTTAACACCAACTTAACGGATTAACAAACGGAGGATTATAGTGAGTAAAAATACAAAAGTCTGGGACTATATTAAGTCGTTTAGGACGAAATCGAGTAAAATCACTATAGTTGAGGACTATTTTGAGTATTAACTCAAAAATGTATGAATACAGTATAAGTTTGTGAAATGTTACGTTATACTAAGATTACGTTTGATTTAAACAATCATTTAAAAGTGCGTTTGATAATTAGGAAAGTTTGAGGGGTTGTTTATCAAAGTGGAGAAAATGAGATTTTTTTAGAAAATAAAAAATTAGAGAAGTGAAAAAATGAAAAATAGAAAACTTATTTACTAAATTCGTTCTTTAGTTGATTTCCAACTTTTTCCCCGATCTATATATATTTCTTAATGATTTAGTTGATTTCCAACTTTTTCAAATGGAGAAATGCAAAACACTACACTTGAACAGTATCAGTCTTTGTAATCTGTAAAAGAGTTTTATTGAAATTACTGGAACAATTCATAAAAGAAGAGTGATTTATTTAATCATTATAAATAAATTAAAAGAGAGACTAATATTAAAATTAATGAATTGTCCTTCTATTTAACACTAATTTAACGGAATAACAAACAGAGGACTACATTAAACAAAAACACAAAAGTCTAGTACTATATTAAGTCACCAAAGTCGTTAGAATGATTTTGGATATTAACTCTTTATAGTTGAGAGCGATTTTGGATATTAACTATTTTTAAATGGTTCAGAGTTATAGTTGTATTTTTTTAATGAAGATGCTATTGAAAATATGGGCACATTTAATGTGTTTGAATATTTTGATATTTGGACATTATATTCGTTATTTCAAATAGACTTTATAGTTTTTAACTATTTATAAATAGTTTAGTATAATAATTTTAATTATGAAATTAATAGAATTAATATTTTCACATATTTAAGAAAAATATTTATAAATACATCTTTATTTTAAATATTTACACATTTCTATCACATTACATAAATAATAATTACCAATGAATGTGAGTTCGTTTATCAATAAATTCTATTTTTTGAAGACCATGAAAATCTATCAATAACTACTCATAGATGCCCCAAAAAGGATGAACGTAACGACTAACGAGTGGATAGAAAATAATTTTTGTACGGAATATCTGAAAGTCATGAGTTCAATGTTTGTCAATAAAATTATACATCCTTTCTTAATAATAAATAAGAAAGATACAATATCAAAACAAAAAACAAAAAAAAAAAAACAAAAAACAAAAAACAAAGACAAAAAAAAACAAAAAAAAACAAAAAACAAAAAACAACAACAAAAAAAAAAGTATAGAATTCATCTCAACTAAAAATATAGTCTAGCAATTAGCTGCACATTTGGTATCTACCTAATCATGCAATCAAGCATTCAACAGTAACATATTTGACTATTAGATATTTGGATGTGAATTAATAATATTTCCTGAGCATTTAGTTCTAGATGGACTTAGGGTGTGTTTGGTTCGTAAAATAAATTTGAAATCGGAATAGTAATCAAATACTTAATAATGATTAAGGGTGTAAACAAATCAAATAAAAAAAAATTGAATTCGAATAAGTTGATTCGAATTCGAATATTTCGAATACGAATCTGAATTCGAATACTTTTTTTGATTCGAATATTTTTTGAATACGAATATGAATTAGAGTGTATTCGATTTGAATAGTATTAGAATATATTCGATTATTTTATGCTATTTAAATATAAATTTTTATTACATTTTATCTTAATTTACTGGAGAATTTTGTACAAAATTAAGTTAGGCATTTTGAATTCGAATATTCGAACCTCGAATAGAATATATTCGAATAAACTGGTCGAATCGAATACGAATCAAATTTGAGATTTGAATTTTAAACGAATACGAATATTCGAATATATAGTCGAATTTGAATCGAATAGTGGGATATTTGACTCGATTCGATTCATTTACACCCCTAGTAATGATAATAGATTTTGGTGAAACTATTTTACATATTTGGTAGTAAGGTGACATTAAAATGAGTACTAATATTGATGTTTGGTTATGTATTACTAATATTGATGTTTGGTTATGTATGACTCTATAATTAAAATAATGGCTTTAAAAATACAAAAATAAAAAAATTAAGATAATTGATCCGAATATAATGACATCCAAAACACCAATATAAACAAAAAAAAAAAAAATTAAAACAAAAATTTAAAAGCACTAATCCAAACTTTAAAAAGATTACTTGGAATGATATCCATTTTTAATTAGGGAATGAGATTTTAATAAAAGAGGTTACCAAGGGTGTATTTGGTTCGCACATGGGAATCGGAATCGGAATGAGAATCAAATGCTTGGTAATGGTATGAATTTTGGTGAAAGTATTTTGCATGGTTGGTAGTATGATGGAATTGTACTGATTATCAATATTGATGTTTGGTTATATATGACCCTATAATTGGAATACAGGTTTTAAAAATACAAAAACAAAAAATCAAAGCAATTGATCATAATATAATGACATCCAAAACATTAATATGAACAAAAACAAAACACAAATCTAAGGGTGTGTTTGGTTCATAGGTATAGCTATCAGGAACGGAATCAAAATCATTGTTATTGTTTAGTTGACAAGTTTTAAAACACTATTATGAGATTTGATTACCCCTTAATTAGAAAACCCATTCCCTAATAAAAAAAAAAAAAGAAAGATTTCATCCCATTATTCTCCCTCCTAATTGGTAATTTGATGTTTATGTTTGAATTATTGTTTTTAGATTTTTTGTTTTTATTTTTTATTTGTTCATATTGGTGCTTTGGATGTCTTTATATTAGAATAAATTGCCTTGATTTTTTGTTCTTGTATTTTTAAAACCTTTATTCTCATTACAGGATCATACATAACCAAACAACAATATTGGTAATCATCCAGTTCCACCTACTACCAAACATGCAAAATACTTTCACCAAAACACATTAACATTACCAAATATTTGATTCTCATTATGATTCCGATTCCCATGTGCGAGCCAAACACACCCTTAATCACTAATCCAAACTTAAAAATCATATATTACTAATAAGATGAAATGATACATTTTTAATTAGGGAATGAGGTTTTTGAAGGGGTAATCAAACCCCATAAATGTGTTTTAAAAAGTAGTCAACCAAACACTAACTATGATTTTGATTCATATTCCTAGTATGTAAACCCATGAACCAAACACACCCTAACTATGATTTTAATTCTCAATCTTAGTTTGTAAACCCATGAACCAAACACACTATTTACTGTTAACCAAATAATGAAAGCAATAAAGATAAAATCCATATATATAACTAAGCATTTACATCATAAACTCTTACTGGAGTCAGAGTTACTATGTTCCTCAACAGAGCCTGACAATACTGGAAAACTGGAATGATCACAAGCAACTTACACCTCATATATAGGGTTTTAACAACATATAATCTGATCAAATCACAGTCATGTGGCAGTATTTTTCATTTTTTTTTTCATAAAACTTTAAAAACATACAAGCATGGAGGTTTGTAGAATTGGCTCTGCCATGCTGCCCTCAAAGAAGAAGAAGAAGAAGAAGAAGAAGAAGAAGAAGAAGAAGAAGAAGAAACAAATCTGCACTTTACCTGAGGAAACGGTGCAAAGAATCACATGTCGAGATGACAACTTAAGACCATACTCTGAACCACGAGATTCTCACTTCCGGCATGATGGAAGAGTAATACCATGACAAATGAAGGCCAAAACCGCATAACCTATCACCAACAGGACGACTATCACTGCAACTCTGCAAAAAAATTCACACGGTTTAATGTTCTTTGAGGTAGATTACGCTTGCAAGGATCTGAGGTGGTTAGTATACGAATGGCAAACCTTAAATCAAACAAATGACTAGATTGAACTATAATGTGATAAATGCCCATATTCTGAATAACTGACTTCTGCAGCACGAGGGTTTAGTACTGGAATACATATACAGCTAAAGAGAACACCCATATGTAAAAGATAGAGAACAAAAATGAAACCACTGACAGAAAATACGACAATTTGCATCAGTATGATGCGACATGTTTACCAAAAATTTGTCAGCCAGACAAGCAAGTGACTATGCCACCAAGGTGCGAATAAGAATATCAAGGCCATAAACAGAGAAATCAAATACAACATCCAATTGACTAGAAGAAGTTCACAACATAATAACTTTATTCAAAGACCATTTCCTAATAGGATCAGAAGATAACCATGGTTCACAACAAAACATGCAGCCAAAGAGCAGGGCAGATAAGGCATTTAAAGAAAATCATGTGCAGACCAACCTGATTAACCTAACATTATCATTTCCCATTACAATGCTATTGGAAAAATGGATTGCATTCGAACAAAGCGGTAAGAGTAGAAGTGCCAGAAGCTAAGTCCAAGAGCTTAGATGAAAATGTAGGAAATTCAAAGAATCCATCTTTATGCATAGAAAACAAAAAAATAAAAAAATAAAAAAAATAAAAAAATAAAAAAGAAGAAGAAGTAATTGTTAGTTTAAAAGTGACATACATAAGCTTCACGTTTCTCCACCATACAGTGCTTCTAAACTGCCGAGCCTGCTTCCTGAAGCGAAAGGTATTTCCTTGCATATTTTCAGTTTTATCAACCAGCAACTCCAAACGATCCCCTCTCTCTAAAACTTTATCAATGTTCTCAATCATGACATCGCGCACCTGTCACAGTACATAGACATCTTCAAACTTCTATGATAATGTCCCATAAATAAAGAAAAGAATGTCTAGGAGAACATGAAAAATAATACAGTGTATGTCAGACAAACTGAACTTTAGAACCAAGTGACTTATTTACAAAAATAATGGCGCACATAAAACTGGATTGCATTCAAGCATTATATACATTCAGAATGGAGGTAGCTCAGACACATGAATGTGTAGAATAAAGCAAGAGTTGCCAAATTATTTTTTGTTTTTAAAAGCCTAGAGTTACTAAATAAGAAAGGACACTTTTTAATGCAGCATTGTATCATGTAGGTATTTCAGATATACAGGGTTTACCTGACTAATTTCACCTTTAATCCTGTTTATTCTGTCTGCATTTGGATCCTTTGAGTAGTATTCAATTTGTTGGCTGAGGACTCTTGAGAATTCATTATTCATGGCATAAGCTTGTGCAGTGAGAACTGCTCTTCCATAGGTTTTAACAAATCTTTGATGAATGTCCTCAAGGAAAGCAAAGGGAATTCTCCCTGCAAAGCAGTGAGCCACCATGAACTATATATACAAAAGATGACAAGCACATGCCTTGAAAGTAGGACAACTAGTAGATGTTTGCAAATCCAAATATGCAGAAACTTAAAAGCAGTGATACAGCAGTCAAAATAGTACTAAGAATAGCCAAAAAGGTGAATTTTCAGAACATCATCTTGAAGCCACTTAAGCTAAGATTTCACATCCTTATTTCATATGTGTATCCTCCGTAGGTAACAAGGTCTAATACCATGGTCACTTTAGGATATAATGCACATGGGTCAAACCACACTAAAAAAAAGTTAAATCAAATTAATTAGCTAGTCTAACCCATAGCCTTATAAACGTATATGTTCTCTCTTATATTTTCAATGTGGAACTCTTAATAGTACTGCATATTATTCTCCCTAGTTAACCAAAGAACAATTGAATAATAGGCTAATAGCTAGGACCATTTTCAAATTTATCAAACAAAAGGATCAACAGACTTGTGCTTTGGCTTTATTTTGATTCATTCATACAAATGAAAATAGCAATTCAAACTCAATAGTTACTCAATAGCAATTCTTTTTCGTTTTGAGCTAATGTAGTTCTCAATTTCAGTATTACTAATTAAGGCATAATTTACACAAAATAATCTAGGCCCTCAAAGCAATTCAAATGAAAAATTGCAACGAAACTCAAAGTCAAATCAAAAAAATCTGTCTTTCCTTCGGAACTCCAGTCAAATTCACTAAAAGAAATTAAAATTTTAAAAGTTAGAGGCAATTTTACAATTTTCCATTTTTAAGCCTAGTGCTAACACAAAATTGCAGTAAAACGCAAAATCAAATCCACGAGTGGCTTTTCCCTTTAGAGTTCCAGTCAAGGTTTAAGTAAAAAGAAATTTTAAATCTACACGATCAAAAGCTTAGAATTCAAGCAACTTTTTATTTTACTTAAATTTACGGTTCAACTTACTTCCGGCGACGTCGTCGGCCATACAGAGGACGGTGAGTCCATCGGTGCGTTTGACATGGAAAATGTAGCGATCCTGAGAGTAAGACACGTTTGTGTCGTCGTTCCCGGGGATCTTGTCCAGTATCTGCTTCGCAATCGCACTGGCGTTCGTCGACGCCGCGCTGTGCTCTGCTAACACCACTGATCCCCGGCCAACCAACGCATAAAGGATCGCCATATCCCCCACCCCCTGCTCTCTAAATCAACATATATATGTATATGTATATGTATATACTCCGTACTATATTATATGGATGTGCGTCGCCCTCTAGTTGAAGATTTGAATATATAAATACACACGTAAGATAACGTGTATAGCATGTACATATAGTTTATTATAGAAATTAACGGGATTTACAGCTTGCAGGTGAGTTGAAATGGTGAAATTTACAGAGAAGAAGATGAAGAATTACTGTCTTGACTCTAGAGTTTTGAAATGAACGAGGAAACCTGAACGCGGGTTGGGTTTATCGTTACATTTCCAATTGTATTTTTTTGTTTGAAAACCATTTCCATTTGTTATAAAGAGGGTTTATGTTGCTTTGTGGCACTAATTTAAAAAGGGAAAAGATATAAATTGGTCATTGAATTATGTGGGGATAGTAATTAAGTCACCGAACTCAATTAAGTTCTAAATTTATTCATTAATTTAGAAAAAAGGTACACTTAGCATTATTAGTAGCTTAACAACAAGTTTGGATTGTTATATGTATATTTTATTTTATATTTTATTATTTTTATTATCCTATTAAGCATTTGACCATCGTCCATGTCATGTTTTCCTAATTTTATTTCATGACGTGTCGACTACTATATTTAAAAATAATACAGTAATTTTTTTTGTTTCAAAAAAAATATTTTTTTAAATTTTATTTTAATAATTTCAAATAAAATAATTATTAAAAAAAAACAACCTCCATGGCTGGCCGGAGATGAAGCGGTCCCTAGCGCTTCATCTCCGCCCAGCCAGCCATCGAGACGAAGGATCCCCTTCGTCTCCGGCTGGCCATGTTGACAAAAGGGGACCCCTTCGTTTCCGGCTAGCCACGAAGATGAAGGGTCGGCCATGGAGACGAAGGAGTCCCCTTTGTCTCCGACAAGGTTATTTATTTATTTTTTTTTAATTTGAAAATAATTATTTTATTTTATTTTATTTTTTGAAAATAATTATTTTATTTGAAATTATTAAAATAAATTAAAAAAATTATTTTTAAATACAGTACCCGACACGTCAGGAAATAAAATCATGAAAACATGACATGGAAGATGGTCAAATTCTTGGTAGGATAATAAAAATAATAAAATATAAAATAAAATATATACATGACAACCCAAACCTGTTGTAACCTGTTAAAAATGCTAATTACACTTTTTTTCCAGGTTTATTGATGAATTTGGAGCTTATTCGAGTTCGGTAGCATAATTGATATCCCACAAATAGTTCAATGATCTATTTGTACATTTTCCATTTAAAAATTATATGTCAATATACAGTGTTAACGTATTATGTGATCCGGTTAATAAATTATGTTGATAAATATTGTAATTAACTTATTATCATGTGCTTTTTCAAAAAAAAAAAACTTATTATCATGTGCATTCAATTTATTTACTGGTACTACAATCACATAACATGTTAATTGCTTATACATAATTTGAATATTCATTTAGACCACAATACAAGATAGATCCTAATCCGTGGTATAATTTGTTTTATAAGAAAAAAAAATATTTTTAGGTTCTAACTTAGTAATTTTAAGAAAAATTATAATTTATGGATCCACAAATATGCCAATTATCAATGTCACCATAATTATTAGTGGTGTAAATGTTGTCCCTCAATTTTTAAAATGTGGCATATATTGTCACTACCCTAATAGGAATAAGGAGAAACATTATTGTCGGCGGAAGGAGAACAAAATAAAAAAGAAAAATGGAGGAAAGAAATGTGATCTTCGAATAGGAAAAATAACGGGTAACCACATTTACAGCACAAATAATTCAAGAGGGGCAACATATGTCACGTTTTGGAAATTAAGGGGCAACATTTACACCACTAATAATTCAGAAGTGACATTGATAATTGACATATTTGTTAGTCATAAATTACAATTTTTTCCTTAATTTTATTCATTTTATTTTTGATTTTATAAAATTAACCAAGTCAGTCTCAATTAAATGTTAAGACATAATTTATTTTTTTTAAATATCATTATAATAGTGAAATTAAATGTGAAATTCATTCAAACAAGCTAAGTGTTTATTAGACGTACTAAAGAACTCATACAAATAAACAAGTTTCGTCAATTTGGTAATTAACACTTTTGATGTCGGGGTTGTTTGGTAAATAGTTGTTAGCTGATTGTGTTAGTGGGTTTGACTAGCTGATAGCATTAGTTTATTTTTGTAGAAAAGTGTTTGGTAAATTAGCTGTTAGCTGATAGTTGATTACATACAAAATGATTTTTTGAAAAAATTGATCGAAAAAACTATTTTGAGTACCTTTTGAATTTTAACATTTTGGAGCAATAAATTGTTACAAAAAAATAATTAATGAAATACTTATATTGATTGTTTAATCAAGTCAAACAGCTAATAATGATCAAATAAGCTAAAAAGTCTAAAATTAACTGATATGCTAACTATTTTACCAAATAGAGTATTCAAATAGCTTTGTAGGTCAAGAGGTAGATCTAATAATTCCGTTTCATGGATTATCTTAGTTTTTTTTTTTTCTTCGGTTTTTGTACATATGATAGAATGTAGATAGGTTAAACATATAACATTCTTTGATTTCTAGTTAACTTTTTGCTTTTCCTTTTTCCTATGACTTATATGATAGGTTAAACTTATATGACTTATTATATTGTAAAATTTCGTTTTTATGATTTCTTGTTAACTTTTTTTTGTATTGCAAAATTTCGTTTTTTTTTTTGTTTGTTTGTTTTCAAAAAAAAAAAAAAAATGAAAGAAAAAAGAAAAAGTCATATGAAGACCAGGGAAGTGTCCATTCATGTGAAAACAACAAAGGAAGGAGAGTCGTTTGTTTGTATCGTTTGTTTAGTTTGCATATGATTGTACAAAAATTCAATCAGCTTATCCATCTAGCTTATACCTGCTCATTCACTATTAGGCCAGCTGTTCCAATTGGTTGTAGGACTAATCTCACAATTTTAATTACACTTAAATTTATTAATTTATTAATATTTGATTTGTATTTTAACAGTTCGTGTATTGCTACGTACATATAAATGTATAGCTCAATGTAGTTTTATGTTATAATGTGCTAAAAATTTTAAGCAAGAGTATTCAATGATTGTCCAGAAAATTATGTGAGTGGAGGCATACTTAAAATGACTTTAGAATTGTCATAACAAAATATTAAACACCTATAATATGTTTCAAATAATACATTATAAATTATAATACAATATTTATGATAGACTATATGATAGTTAACTGCGGAGCCAAAACTATATACTCCGTACTTGGGTAGGGTGAAATTTTAATTTGAAATGTTATAAAAATATTTATGGCAAAATATAAAATATAATCGATTAGATAAAATAGTTTGAATAGAAAAGACATTATTATATTTATTGTTAGGAATAAAGTGTAATGGTTTTGATATGCCAAATATGTATTTGTAGAACCCAAATTTTATTTGTATAGGTCTAGTAGAGTCTCAGACCATGATCGGGAAATTATTTATCTTGCAAAAGAGAAAAACAGAGGAAGATGCATGAAAATAGAAGAAGAAGATATAAAGCCTAAAATCAAGGATTTGTCTGGTGAAAATGACAAATTGAAGAAGAAGATGAATGATATGAGTTTAAGTCGCTGCTACTCAAAAAGAATTCCCAGAAGAATTTTCGAGGAAGAAAATTAAGATTGGAAGTTTGCATGAATTTGACTTGAAGATCAAGCATCAATGTTGCAAAAATCGCGCCTAGGCGCCATTGCGCCGCTGCGAAGAAGGCCGAAATCGGCCATCTCCGCGGCCGGCCGCCTAGCCGGCTGAACCGGCGCCTGAACCGGTGCTTTTAATTTTTTTTTTTTTTTTTTGAAAATGTCGGAAAACTTTCGGAAGGCATAACTTTTGACTCGGTTGTCCGATTTGGACAATTTTTTTTCAAATCACTAATTTCTCAAAAAAATGCTTCTTTAGCTCTTAATTTTAGTTTCTTTATGTATTTAGATGGTTTAAACAATATTTTGAACACTTTTACAACCACTTTCGTAAATAGTTTCTAAGAAATAACTATGGAAACCTTATGTTTTATTACTAAATTTTAAAAAATTTTAATTTTTAATTAAAAAAATAAAAAATAAAATAAAAATAAAATAAAAATAAAAACTAAAAAATCGGCGCCTAGGCTCCCTAGGCGCTAGGCGCCCCCTTGGCGCCTAGGGGGCGCCTAGCGTGTTTTGCAACATTGTCAAGCATCTATGAATTTGACTGAGACCCAGATATTTCCAAGAAACGTGAGAACACCAGAGGAATATCAGATGAAGTTTGGGAACTCATTTACATGAAGTTGAAGCTCTACAAACTGCTAGATTATCTTTTCTGACACTTTGCCAGAAGATAAGATAAGATCTGTGACAAAAAGATACAAGAACTCAAAAATGAGATCGTCTCTTTCCAACAGGCAGATTCTCATTACCAGCTATATAAGGATGAAGATATGAAGACTTGAAGAGAGTGCAAGACAGAGCAAAACAGAGCAAGAACACGAACTCACGAACAAAAAGCTTAGAAAGAGCAAGAGTTTCAATTGGTACAGAGCATACAAAAAAGAAATCTTCAAGTGAGAAAAGAAAAAGAACTCAAAGAGCTTCAAAAGAAATATTCAGAGAGTTTTAAAAGCAGAGCTAAACAGAGCATAAATATCAAGTGCTATACTTGATACATTCAAAGAGAGAAAAACAGTCAGAAATACAGAGCTTTCACGAGAAATCATTCAAGAGTGTTTAATCTTCATCAACGTCAAGACCTGCATCATATTGAAGATCATCTACAGAGTCTCAGAAGTTGGAAGCAAGAAGAAAACTTGTCTTTGAACAAGTAATATTCCTACGGGAGTGTAGGAAGGGAGGAAAGTAGCACGGAGCTGTGAAATCCTGGATTGTCACACGGAGCTGAGATCCGAAGCAGCAGTGTTGGAGGCACTGGGCGTGATTAGTGCGGGCTTTGTGATCAAAACACTAGATCACGGAAGAGCATTTCTACCGGAGTGTAGAAGACTGGGGGAAAGTAACGCAGAGTCGTGAAATCCTGGGAAAGTAGCGCGGCGACGTGAAACCCGAAGCAGCAGTGTGGTGTCACTGCGCGTGATTAGTGCGGGCTTGGTGATCAAAGCACTAGATCATGGAATTCATTGTATCTTGGAACCAAGAAGTGGTGGATATAATGAATTGCTCTTGGAGATAAGAGCAAGTGGAGTAGGAGGATTACACCACCTCCGAACCACTATAATTGTCTTGTGTTCTTTACTGCTTTCTTTACTTACTACTCTTTACTTGCTTCTCACGAGATATACTTGACACAATCTCACACACACTTGTCTTTATTTATTTCCGCTGCGTACCAAACTCTAACAATCTAGTTAAGAGTTTTGGTTTCTCTGTGCCTTAGCAATTGTTGTGTTGTGTGAAAAAGTTTGAAAGTCTATTCACCCCCCCCCCCCCCCAGACTTTCACCTTACCTCTTTTGGGACCAACATTTATAAATACTTTAATTTTAATTTTCTTTTAATTAGATCAACTTTAAAATTTTTCTAAATTAATTTGAATACGATGAAGTATAATATAAATTTGTTGACTACATTAACAAAATGATTCACAAAAAAGTAGACTTAAAAAAGTATTTAATTTATTGAATGGTGAGAAGAGCTAAAATAAAGAATAGAAGCTAAAATATACACACACAAAAAGTAGAATTAAAAATATACATTTAATTTATTGAAGGGTGAGATTGTGGGAAGAGCTAACAAAAAGTGTTCTTAGTGGGATTCAAGGTTCAACCAAATGAGCTATTGAACTCTTTAGTAATTTGTATATGTACATAACATTAAAGGGGTAAGGCATGAAGGGAGGGGGGGGGGGGGGCAGCTACCCCACTGCCACCATTGTGGCTCTGCCACTGAGAGTATTTATGTGTGACAAAGTAATGGGCCTAGCACCCGACCCGGGTTGTTAACAGGCACCTGACCCAGCACCACGTGGAAATCGAACGGGCAGAACTCCAACGGACAGAATGCCAACCGGTGAAAACATTACTACGGGTCATTTACTGCGCCCATTGAAGAAAGAGAAATAAAGGCTCAGCTCCTCATTACGTCTCATGATGTTATTACCGTTAGGGACTTGATATAAGTAGAACCTCTCCTCAGCTAGGGGGGATACATTGAATATTCTGTACTGAAATACTAAAGCAATACAATTCGTTATTCTTATATTATATTTCTGGTAACATATTCACCGTCATTGGTGCTTTCATTGAGAGCCTGAGATCAATACTCAAGCAGGCGAATACACACAACTCTCTCTTTCAACGACAAGCTTGAAAGAATGGTGTCCTGCAGCTCCCATGGTTCCCGCTACTTGAACAATGGCAACGCCTTAGGTGATCTTCGAGACCAACTCGCCAACAATCGTGGAGGGGACCTCCGAGAACAACTCAATAACGGGAGGGCCGGGGACCTTCGAGAACAAATCAACAATGAGGAACAAACCAAATCATGAACCTCCAAACGACCGCCGAGGCCATCCAGCAAGCGGCGACAACACTAACCCAGGCAGTGGTAGGATTGCAAGGCCAAGCGCCCCCGCCGCGGCCCCAGGAAATAGAAGTGGAATCCCCACGAAGGGTAGAAACCCGGCAACAACAGGACACAACCCGTGCGGCGAGGGATGCAGGATGCCACACTAGGACAGGGGCCCTAGAGGAGGGCGCCCAAAGAAGTGGACCGACCAGATGACGACCAGGACCCTCCTAGTTTGCGCTCGAATAGTTGGGACAAAGGTCGTCCGCATGGCAAAGATTGGGATCGCGGGCCATGGGGTCCTCCACTAGAGGCCATCGCCGACGCGAAAGCAGAGGAGCAGAGAGATCACCCACGGAGAAGATGGGCGAATCTGAAGAGCCGGCCCGGCACCGACACTTGGATGAGCGGCATGTTGACGAGTCGGCCCCGCGCCGGCACTTGGATGGGCTGGCCCCGCACCGACACGAGGATGAGCCGGTCCCGCGCTGACATGTCGATGAGCCAGCCCCGCGCCGGCATATGGGTGAGTCGGGCCCACGCCGACACTTTAATGAGCTGGCCCCACATCAGCACCCTAATGAGTCGGCCTTAGTCGAGAGACAGCAGAGGAAAATTGAAGAGTTAGCAAAGAAGGTAGAAGCTTGGGAGCAATCGCCGGAATC